CCTTCAGGTACTACAAGTAAATAAGAAGACTCTAAACAAAAGAAACCGCTAAGCTCGCCTTATCTCAGTCTGACACAGCAGTGTCAACAATTCAAGTCTCTCTGAAAAATAATGAGTGAGAGCCAGTCGTTCCAATTACCAAGGAAACAGGCAGTGGAGATGATTTATAAACAGCAGTGGGACATGGATTGTCTGGCATACATGAGAATTAGAACAAAATTAATGCCTTGTAATATGGATACAGAAATTCACTTAGAATTTGAATTTAACGACTACAACACAAAGATTTAGATGAACTAAGCTACTGAAACCCAAGGGGAAGAGGTTAGGTCATATAACCACCTGAGGCCAACCTCCTCTTCGGAAAGCTGGCTAATTTAAGACAAGTTGTGGATTTTGTTTGCATTTTATCTCCTTTCCAAATTAACTCCCAGACCCTAATGAGTTTCCTTAGGCAGATGAACATAACTTGATCACCCATGATGGGAGGATACTGAACTACACTTAAGAAACAGCTCCATCCATAGACCATCATGTACTTACAGTGGGAGCAGTGTTATTTGACCCCAGGGTGAGAAAAGGTAACTCCCTGAGGTTGTACGATGCAGGTTTAGAGAAGCCTCTAGGTTGCCAGAGGGAAGCTGAAGGTCCCCATTAACCCTCCATCTTCTTCCTAAGGGGCTGGTTGCTGAGACAGGAGCCATCCCTTCTGAACAGGAATTCACATGGCACTTTCCAGTTTAGGGTCAAAGGACAGCATTATTGTGAGGTTCTTGGTGCAGATGGACTTAACTATTTGAAAAAGCTAATTCAAATCAGTAAGCCCTTTTTGAATTCTGCAAAAACACTGATTTCACATGGTGAGGACTCAATATAAATGTGTTCAACAAATGAACAGAAACAGGAGAGGCAGCTCCAGACGAGTTCAACTGTCTCAGCAATTTTTATGGTTATTTGCTGAACCTGACAAAAGTGTTCGTCTGCGACTGAGATTTTTTTCAGCTCCTAGCCTTTCTTTCTTTACACAATTATATCCTTTTGCAAATGTTTTTTTGTTTGTTTGTTTCGTTGCAGTTTTGCAATTAATTCTTCATCCCCTCCTTTTAACCCACTGCACGGTGCTTCCTTACAAAAGATCCCCAGATCTGGAGGAAAAGCACCTGCATGTGTCTGGAGCAGCGGCGTGTCAGGCATTTTACACATACCATGTAAGGGGAGCTTTTTTCAGCTCTGTGACAAATACTCTTAATTCCCTTTCTAGAACATCACGGCAGAACCTTCTACGGCTCTCTGGTACAAATTATTTGAATTCTGGGTTCCTTATTGCTTTTACTGTAATCACAGCTTTATATGCACATGGGAACTGGAGGACCTCTGTCCGCTAATCCAGGTCATGCAGCATTTACTGGCTTTTCACATCTAACCTCAGAGGCCGAGGAACTTTCTGGAGCTGAATCCAGGTGATGCAAAGCTGAATTGACTGTTTCTTCCCAGTGACTGTTCCTTTCAGGCTCTTTGCTTGTCTCCTGTGATGGGAGTCCCTTTCATTGCTTTCAAAGTCAGCAAGGCCGGCAGCAGTCTCTGGCCCTACAGCATGTCTGTGTGTGCCTCACATTCACCGTAATACCACGGAGCAGCCTCATTACCAACCACAGCAGTTCTGTGGGTGGAAAGTCAAGCTGCTGTGCCTCACGGTGACGGGGACCCCCCTGTGCGTGCTTTTATCATGTCTCAGCCGGGGCTGTCACTCAGTATTTGTGCATCCGCTTGCCACCTCCCTGCTAGGTTTTCATTTCAGGAAGAGCCTCCTCAGGTCGTGTTCTCTCTGTGCACAGCCTGCTTGTTCCAGTAGAACGTAAGTCACTGCCAGCAGGGAGGATGCCTGGATCTTGGTTGCCAGTTTGACAGGGTCTACCTTTTCCAGGACATGAGTTCGCTGCCTGTCCTTAGCATGTGAGTTGGGGATGTGATATTTATGTCCAGAGAGATTTCCTTTCTTTTCTTTCAACTCAAGATGCTTCAATTTCTTTAAAACATTGATTCCTGTCTTGAAGCAGTTCTAAATTTTTAGACAAGGCTTTCAAGCTGGCCTGTTTTGTGAGGCTCTCTTACACTCAGTTTTAACTTTAATGTTAACATCCGCAAAGTGCTTTGACATGTTTTCCGGAAGGATGCAGTATGTATCACTTGATTGATGGTTCAATCAATGAGTAGTCCTTCCCAATGTTACTCAAAGTACTTAGCAGAGTGCTACAAATGCATCTTATGTCCTATATCCAAATTCTTCATTATCTCAAGAAACTCCTTCAAACTTGAGACACAGGCTTGAGACTCCTTTTCAAGAAATGAGAACTTTCTATTTACTGTCAGCAATGCACGTGTGATGACATAAATGCACTGTTTATATGACCTAAACACTTTTTAATTTAAAAATTGCACTTTTTAAAATAGTCAGAATAGTCCTCATTTATTTGAAGCAACTTAGTAACAACATACTATTTCAACTTAAATATAAAATTCCTATGAAATATCACTGTCATGTGGTAAAAATGTCACCTTGTTAATGTTTAATTGTCCAAGGCAATGAAGGAGAACTGTAGCACAGATAACTTAAAATAGCAGAAAATACAGAAAGGTTTTCCATTTGACAGCATATTGTATTTTGCATGAAATGAACCTAAATGTGAGAGACACTTTACCAATTACAACTTTTTAATGTTTAAAATCTTTTCTTCTGCCTGAATGAGGAGACAGGGGCAGAGGAGCAAAGAGACGTGTATTGAAACTTCGCTGTGTGTCACTCAAATACGGTGAAACACACAAGTAAGTGAAAGCAGATAGTTTTGAATGTGTCGGTGGCTCTAAGGATCATAAACAGTGTGGACTCTGAAATATTATCTGAAACTTGCAAGCTTAGTTTACAATGAAAATATGACTAGAGCAACGTAAATGTAACTAGAATTCTTAAAATTTTCAGGACTCCACTACAAAATTATAGTATGATTCTCTTCAAACAGTGTTCAGTGAGCATAATTTCCAAGAAACTATAGAATTAAAACTGACTTTTCTAATAAGAGAAAAATGAGGACCACAGATTGAAAAGAACTAATCAATGCTTACCATTAAACTTTTAAACTTCCTATTTTCTGCAATGTGAAAAAAGCCATCTCTTGTTAAAATCTTGATGTGCTTTGCTTCATTATTGTACCTGTGGGCAACGGATAACTTATGAATATAAATGTGTTTTTAATCAGCTGAAATCAATAATTACCAGAGGGCATGCCCCAATAACATTATAGGAATTAATTGTGAAGACAAAATATATACCTATGCCAATACACTGGTGACAGCTAATTAACAAAATGTATTTACTAGATTGGCTGAAGATACAACCAATATTTGAAGTGAGGGGGGGTGGTTAGGTTTGACCAATCACTATGCCGAATTTATTCATAAGATCAGTTTGAGAACACTGAAAAACAAAGTAAAACAAAATCAAGTAATTTATATTAGAATTTACTAGAAACACACACATATCAAGTCACCAAATTACAGTATTATGAAAGAAACCTAATATGCCAATTAGTGGCCTATAACACGTAATACTGTTTTTTCTAACAGATATTTTCAAGTATTCATGAACTGCATGGAGAGATGATGCATTATTTCTGCTGCAATTAGAACCTTGGTTTTCAACTTTCAGCGCGATACACGTCAGATGGTCTATGCAATTATGAAAACAGGAAATCTATTTCTGTAAAAGTACTCGTCCTACTTACTTAATGCTAATTGCATATTCTCCTGACTCTTTGGTCCTGTGCCTCACAAGGTAAGTACTATTTACCCTATTAATAAGTTCAGTCTCTGCCTGCAATCTTTCCATTGCTCCAGCATACCTGTAAGAAAGACAGACACAGAAAATGTGGGTAATGTACCTGGAAGAGAAGAGAGGCTAAAAATAAGTGATCTGTTGGGATTTTCATTTAGGAGCAGAACTGAGCTGATTTTGCTTCTAAACTAATTCTATTGCTTCAAAACAAATAATGGGGAAAAAAGTCCTTCAATTACATACAAATGCAAATGCTCTACAAAGATTACAACAGGGAAGTGAACAATGCTTAACACGAGCTAAATATTTATCAAATAAATAAATGGGACAAAGAACTAGTAGGTATTGGGTTAGAGGGAGAGTTGTGGGAAGTTTAGGGTCAAGAAAGAAAAAGACGTACTCAATAAAAAAAGGTTAAAAAAAAAAAAGGAAAAAGACATGAAGGGAAGGACTGCCCTGTGTAAGATGCACTGAGATGTACACACATGCCTCCAAAAATGTCACCTTTTCTATGTGCAACAGTGTGAAATAAAATCTCCTTTGAGTGTCATTTTAAGAAAACTCATCATAATTTAAATTATTTTTATGATATAAAATTAATTCTTGTAATCCACAATTTGGCTAACCAGTTTTCTTAAGAAATTAAGTAGTAGTAGTAAAATGTTTAAAAGGTGGATATTTTCAAAACCAGAATTCAATTATTCCTGAACTATGTTGGCCTTAAACATACCCAAATTCCATGACACCAACAATAAAAGGCCCAAAGTGAATGTTGAAATATTCTTTAGTGACCTTTCACATCAAATACAGGTTTAACATTTACTGGCAAAACACATTCGAGATGTTGGGTAATAAAAGTGAAAGGAAAAATTTTATGTTTCGATTGGCTAGCTTTCAAATCAGTATTCTTTGTTTTGTCTACACTGCAAAATTTCATGACACTGTGCCTTCCAGTTACATGCTGTACTGAAAATTTCAGTTCTGTCCTGGGCTCTGGGTAGCATTTTGATTTGGAAATGAGAAATTCTAAGAAATGTTTGTTTTATTTCTTTGGTAATTGCTGCTTTCAGTGTCTCCTGGAGTTCCTACCAACTGCAGGCTGGGTTTCTAGGGTCGATTGATTTTTCTCTCTCTTTTCTCTCATATTATCTCTGATTTTTCTGGAGGATTTGCTCAATTTTACTTTCCAGTTCCTCTACTCAATATTTAATTTAGAAGAGCTCTTGAATGTTCTCTGATTGTTCCTTTTATAAAACATCCAGCTCACTTCTCTGGATGTACTGTCATCTCTTAATTCTGAGAATGTAAGTTAAAGGCTTTAAAAACAAATCTTTTGCCCATTCTAATGTTTGTCTTTCTTCCAGGTTTCTTTTTTTTTCCATTTTATCTGTTCTCTACTTCAAGGTTTTTCTCAAATGTCTGGTTGCTCTTGGTTGTCTGCTCATAGTTAAGAGGGAGGCATCCAAGAATGGGCTGGAAGCTCT